AGGAAGAAAGAAGTTAAAGACTTCCTAGAATTCAATGGAAATGAATTCACAACATACCCAAATTTATGAAACACAATGAAAGCAGTGCTAAGAAGAAAGTTCATAGCACTAAGTGCCTTCATAAAGAATTTGGAGATATCTCGTACTAGTGACTTAACAGTACACCTGTAAGCTCTAGAACAAAAAGAAGCAAACACACCCACTAGACGGCAGAAAATAATCAAACTGAGGGCTGAAATCAATAAAACAGAAACAAAGAGAACAATACAAAGAATCAGTGAAACAAAGAATTGGTTCTTTGAGAAAATCAACAAGATAGATTAAACGCTTATCCAAACTAACTAAAAAGTAGAAAGAGAATTTACAAACTAGCAAAACCAGAAACTAAAAGGAGGACATAACAACAGACACTGAGTAAACCAGAGAATGATTAGGTCATACTTCAAAAACTTGTGCTGTAAGATGGTCTTTCTGTATATTGTGAATACATGTTGCTACTATTGGTTAATAAAGAAGCTGTTTTGGTGTATGATAAGGAAAGATAAAAGCCTGGTGGGAAATTTAAAAGAGATATAAAAAGAAGAGGTGGAGTCAGAACAGATGCCATCCAGCTACCCAAGTATTAAGATGCCAGCAGACTGGCAATGCCATGGCCATGTGGCAAAATATAGATTAATAGAAATTGGTTAATTTAAGATGAAAGAGCTATCTAGCAAGAAGCCTGAACCATAGACCATAGAGTTTGTAATTAATATTAAGCCTCTTTCTGGTTACTCAGGTACCGGTGGGCAGGAAAGATTTTTCTGACTACAACTGGTACCTAACATGGGACAAGAATTTCCACATAAAACTTGAGAGCTTATAAAAAAGAAAAAAGAGGGTTCTAAAATGGAGCCAAGAACAGCTTCCTAGATCTCATTACAGGCCTTGGTACAGAGAGGCCCCCTCCCCCCACTGCATCAGGCTTCAGAGGCAACACGATGGACTCCCACGGTCTCTCACAGGCTGTGATATAGAGAAGCATCTCCCACCCACTGCCTGCAGGATTGGTAGCACAGCAGTGGACTTGAAAACACAGCTCGGTGCTACTTAATATTGCTTCCCAGAATTGAGGAGGTAAGGGTGACTCATTGGTACCTGCACAAGGATGGAAAGCCAAGTAGGGCATAGCCAGCTGCCAAAGCTGTGCTTCAGTCCTAGCAACACAACTTAGCTTAAAAATGCACCTGTCAGCAAAGGATTAAAGATACACAATAAAACAGATTCAGATAAAAAAATAAAAATAAAAACCTTTAAACAGGTTACAAGATGTTTAAAAACTTATGTAGGCTTGAGAGAGAAAAGAAAATGAGTAGAGAAAGTCCTTAAAACGGAAATAAAATAAAAAAGAAAAAAAAAACATGTAAAGATGGCAAATACACAAAGAGTCTGCATACTGTATATTATTGTATTGTCTTTGGTATATTTAACTGGAGAGATTTGATTGTAAAGGCTACTAAGTTAAACCAACATATATATTTTAAAGGTATCTTGACTTTGAATTTTGGGTCTAAAAATATGTTACTTTGGAAAAGAGGTTATGCTTTTGTTTCCACAGGAGATGATAACCTTTGAATTGCATCCAGGCTAATATGGTTTGATCCACCAAGACCTCCTGGAAGGTCTCCAATGACAGCCATGGCCCAGATGATCCAACATTCAGAATGGCTTCAAGACAACTGGCTGAGACAGTGCAGCCTCACAGACTACTACAGCCAAGATTTAACCATAATTACAAATTTTCTAAGGGTCCCTCAAGATCACAAGTGCCCACCAATCATCAGTAAGTAGTCTAGAGAATTGCAGCCGAATTCCCAAAATACTGTCTATAAATGTTTGTTTTCATTTAAAGGGGGTTGGTTACAATTTGCTATTAGTCATAGTCAATCTCCTTCTAAAGGAAAAAAGAGGGATATGGCATAGAAATGATGAAAAAGAGGTAAATTATTGAATCCACTTTAATCCAAAAAACAATTGTTAATCTCAAAATACTTTACATTGGTATGGATTTTGGTTTACTAATAAAAATTTAAGGTCAATTTTGTTATACTATATGTGTATTTCTACTCTTATTTTATTTATTTATTTTTTTTTTTTAATTTAATTTTATTTTACAATACTATTCAGTTCTACATAACAGCCACAGATTCCCTTGTTCTCCCCCTTCCTGCCCCCCTCCCCTTCCCCCCAGCCCACCCCCCATTCCCACCTCCTCCAGAGCAAGGCCTCCCCCAAGGACTGAGATCGATCTGATAGACTCAGTCCAGGCAGGTACAGTCCCCTCCTCCCAGATTGAGCCAAGCGTCCCTGCATAAGTCCCAGGTTTCAAACAGCTAATGCATGCAATGAGCCCAGGATCTGGTACCACTGCCTAGATGCCTCCCAAACAGATCAAGCCAATCAACTGTCTCACCTATTCAGAGGGCCTGATCCAGTTGGGGGCCCCTCAGCCTTTGGTTCATAGTTCATGTGTTTCCATTCATTTGGCTATTTGTCCCTGTGCTTTATCCAACCTTGGTTTCAACAATTCTCGCTCATATAAACCCTCCTCTTTCTTGCTAATTAGACTTCTGGTGCTCCACTAGGGGCCGAGCCATGGATCTGCATCCAGATTCCTCAGTCCTTGGATGGAGTTTCTGGCACAACTATTAGGGTGTTTGACCATCCCATCACCAGAGTAGGTCAGTCCTGGCTGTCTCTTGGCCATTGCCAGCGGTCTATTGGGGGGCTATCTTTGTGGATTTCTGTGGGCCTCTTTAGCACTTTGTTTCTTCCTTTTCTCATGTGGTCTTCATTTACCATGGTCTCCTATTCCTTGTTCTCCCTCTCTGTTCTTGATCCAGCTGGGATCTCCCACTCTCTTTCCCTCGACCCTCGCCCTTGTTTTATGTATATACAACTTATTTAAAATTGTAATGTATCAATAACATATACAGATTAATATTCATCTATGTTAAACATACAGTCATGTTTGTTAAGTTTTCTAGGTATACAAAGATATATTTCAATTAGGTAGGAAATCTTCAAACACTTCAAAGACCTACAGAATATGGCATTTACATTGTTTTAAGAACTTAGACTTTTCTGGACAGTGAGACATGTCTGCTCCTGGTAGCACCAATTACTTCAAAAAGGATGATGGATATCAAAGAAACTCAGTATGGAGTTTGCTTTCAGTGTAGAAAATGCTGGTCATTTGGGTGAGAAACTGCTCTTACCTGGACTGCTTGACAAGCTGGATATGCAGGAGCCATAGGAAGGTGACCACTGAACTTTGCCAAAACAAGGCAAGATGGTCCTTCAGGTTCCTGCTTCACAGAAGAAACTGCCAGACATTCTGCAGGACACAGAGAAAAGTGACTGATGAACTTTGCCAGTAGGCAAAGCAGTCCTTCAAATTTCCTGCTTCACTGAAAAGTATGCCAGAGACTCTAAGCCTACAGGCTAAAGATAGATGCCCCAACATGGCAGAAGAACTTTGGGTGACTGTCTAGGCAGCCAGTTTTTTCTGTCGTTTTTTTTGGAATTTTGGAAGTTGCTTTCAATGGACTTCCTGTTTACTCAGATAATATTATATCCTTCTGGGGTCTTTGATGGAGTTGAAGATTAGATAGTTGTAATTATAGTTTTCCTTGGTTATGATAAAAGGTAAATTAGATATGAAACTTTAGACTCACAAATATAGAATAGATGATAAAATATTTTCTTTAATTTTCCCAAATATAAATACACTAGATATTATAACTATAATTCTTGCTTGATAACTGTTTTGCCATATGTAATTTTACTATATGTTAAAATTAATACCTTTCTTTTTGATTAGACAGAAAAGGGGAAGTGCCATGGGATGGTCTTTCTGTATGCTGTGAATATGTGTTGCTACTATTAGTTAATAAAGAAGATGTTTTAGCCTATGGTAAGGCAGGAAAAAAGCCTGGTGGGAAACACAACAAAAATACAGGGAGAAGAGGGAGGAGTTAGGGCAGACAGCATCCAGCTGCCCAAGGAACAAGGTGCCAGTAGACAGGTAACACCATGGCCATGTGGCAAAATAAAGATTAATAGAAATGGGTTAATTTAAGATAAAACAGCAAGCTAACAAGAAGTCTGAACCATAGACCAAAGAGTTTGTAATTAATATTAAGCCTCTGACTGGTTATTTGGGTACAAGTGGGTGGGAAAGATTCCAGCTACAAACCTGAACTCAGCAAAATTGAAAAAATTTTAAAAATGGACAAATTTCTTGATAGATACCACATACCAAAATTAAATCAAGATAAGATAAATAATTTAAATAGACCTATAACCTCTAAGAAAATAGAAGCAGCTATTAAAAACCCCCAATCAAAACAAAACAAAACAAAAAACAAAAAAACCCTCATGGCCAGACAGTTTTAGTGCAGAATTCTACCAGAATTTCAAAGACTCAATAAAGATAGAGAATTACAGACTAATTTCTCTTATTTCAATCATGAACATTGATGCAATAATATACGAACTGAATTCAAGAACACATTAAAAAGATGATCCACCATGATCTTCATCCGAGAGATCCAAGGATGGTTCAACATATGAAAATCTGACAATGTAATCTGCCATATAAACAAACTGAAAGAAAAAACACAAGATCATCTCATTAGGTGCAGAAAAACCTTTGACAAAAATCTCACCCTCCTTTTATGATAAAAGTCTTGGAGAGATCATAGAAACAAGAAACATATCTAAACCTAATAAAAGCAATATACAGCAAACCAAGAGCCAATATAAAATTAGAGAGAAATTCAAAGAAATTCCATTAGAATCAGGAACAAGAAAATTCTGTCCATTCTCTTCATGTCCATTCAACATAGTACTTGAAGTTCTAGCTAAAGCAATAAGACAACGAAAGGAGATCAATGGGATACAAATTGGAAAGGAGAAGTCAAAGTATTATTATTCACAGATGATATAATAATATATATAAGCAGCAACAAAATTTCTACCAAGAAACTTCTTTAGCTGATAAACATTTTTAGTAGAGTGGCTGTATACAAGATTAACTGAAAAAAATCAGTGGCCCTCTTACATGCAAATGATAAATGGACTGAGAAAGGAATCAGGGAAACACTACCCTTCACAATAGCCACAATTAATATAAAATATCCTGGGGTAATTCTAACCAAGCAAGTGAAAGACCTATATGACAAGAACTTCAAGTCTTTGAAGAAAGAAATCGGAGAAGAAATCAGAAGGTGGAAAGAAGTCCTACACTCATGGATCAGTAGGATTAGCATAGTACAAATGGCCATCTTAACAAAAGCAATCTACAGATTCAACTCACCCCCATTAAAATTCTAATACAACTCTATGGACCTTGAATGAATAATACTCAACTTCATATTTCTATATGAACAACAACAAAAACAGAATAGATAAAACAGTTCTGTACAGTAAAAGAACTACCAGAGGTATTATCTTCTCTGATCTCAAGCTCTACTACAGAACTATTGTAATAAAAGCCTCATGGTATTGCCATATAAACAGACAGGTGGGTCAATGGAATTGAATTGAAGAACCAGATGTAAATCCACACACCTATGGCCACCTGATTTTTGACAAAAAAGCAGATATTGTACAATGGAAAAAGAAAGCATCTTTAGGGAATGGTACTATTCTTATTGGATGTAGGCATATAGAAGAATGCAAATTGATCCATATCTATCACAGTGCATAAAACTCAACTCCAAGTGGATCAAATACCTCAAAATGAAAGTATATACACTGAACTTGATAAAAGAGAAAGTGGAAAATAGCCTTGAAGGCATTGGCATAGGAGACAAATTTTTGAATAGGACATCAATAGCTCAGACACTGATCTACAATTAATACATGAAACGTCATGAAATTGAAAAGCTTCTGTAATTCAAAGAACAGTGTTAATAGGAAAAATATCAGCCTGCAGAATTAGAAAAGATGTTCACCAAATCCACATCTGAAAGAGAGCTGATTTCCAAAATAAATAAAATACTCAAGAAACTAGACATGCAAAAACAAAATAATCCAATTTAAAAATTTGGGCACAGATTTAAACAGAGAATTCTCAACAGAAGAATCTCAAATGGCCAAAAAACACTTAAAAAAATATTCACCATCCTTAGCCATCATGGAAATGCAAACCAAAAGGACTCAGAGATTCCATCTTATGCATGTCAGAATGTCTAAGATCAAAAACACAAGTGACAGCTCATGCTGAAAGGATAGAAAGCAAGAGGAACACTCCTCCACTGATGGTGGAAGTGCAAACCTGTACAGCCACTTTGCCAATCAATATGATGGTTTCTTAGAAAATTGGAAACCAATCTACCTCAAGGCCCAGCTATACCACTCCTGAACAAAGGATGCTCAATCATATCACTAGGATACTTGTTCAACTCTGTTCATAGCAGCTTTACTCATAATATCCTCAAACTAGAAACAACTAGAAGTCCTTCAACTGAGGAATGGACAAAGAAAATGTGGAATATTACTTGGCTGTTAAAAACAATGACATCATGAGATCTGCAGGCAAATGGATGGAACTAGAAAAAAAAATCATACTATGTGAGGTAACCCAGACCCAGAAAGACAAGCATGATATGCACTCACTTATAAGTGGATATTAGCTGTGAAGGATAACCATGCTGCTGGAATCCACACACCTAGAGAAGCTAGGTAACAAGAAGGGCTTAAGGTGGGATTCATGGGTCTTCCTGAGAAGAGAAAATAGAATAGATATGTGAGTGGACTGGGGGCAGGTGGGGATGAGAACATGAGGGATCATGTTTAGATTAGAGGGGGAGAGTACTGAAATAGAAGATTGGAAAGGGGGAACATTTTGGGGCCAGGTAGAAACTTGGTATAAGGGCAACTCCCAGGAATTTACAAGAATGACCCTAGCTAAGACTCCTAGCAATAGCATGTATGTAGCCTAAACTGGTCATCTCCTTTGACCAAGCAAGACTTCCAGTGGAGGGAGTGGGACACCAACCCAGCCATATAACCTTCTATCTATGTTCTGTCTTGACTATAGGATGTGCTGGGGTAAGGGTGGCACAGACATTGTGGGAGTGGCCAACCAATGACTGTTCTAGCCTGAGTCCCATTCATGAAAGTAAGCCCACCATTGACACTGCCTAGAGCACCAAGATGCAGAGGCTGCACGGCCCAGAGACCTACAATAGAGCCAAACATGATTGGAGAAAGAAAAATGTCGATGTAATGATGCCTAATGATTTTCTGTTATAGTCATAGATTTGTGCCTAGCCCAACTGGCATCAGAGAGTCTTCATCTAGCAACTGATTGAAATAGATGCAGAGACCCACAGCCAAACATTAGGCTGAGTTTAAGGAATGCTGTTGAAGAGAAGGAGAAAGAACTGTAGAATCTAGAGAGGTCAATGACATCACAAGAAAACCCCTAGAAATAATTAACATTGACTGATAGGAGCTTACAGAGTCTGAACCAAAAACCAGGGAGCCTGCATGGGACTGACCTAGGCCCTCGGCATATATGGGACAGTGATGTAGTGTGGTCTCATTGTGGGACTCCTAACAGTAGGAATGGAGCTGTCTCTAACACTTTTACTGGCTTCTGGGATGCTATTCCTCACAGTGGATTGCATTACCCAGCCTTAATACAAGGGGAGGAGCTTATTCTTACTGAATCTTGATATGCGATTGTTTTGTTGATATCCGTGGGAGGCCTGCTCTTTTGTGAACAGAAATGGAGCAGGAGTGGTTGAGGGCAGGGGCAGAGGGGAGGTATATTTTATAACCAGTTGGGTTATAAAATAAATAAATAAATTTAAAATAAAAAAAAACAGTAAAAAAAAAGGACATCCTACCAAAAGCAATCTACAGATTCAATGCACTCCTCATCAAAATGCCAACACAATTCTTTACAGACCTTGAAAGAACAATACTCAACTTCATATGGAAAAGCAGAAAACCCAGGATAGCTAAAACAATCCTGTACAATAAAAGAACTTCCGGAGGTCTCACCATCCCTGACTTCAAGATCTACTATAGACTGTAGCAATAAAAACCTCATGGTATTGGCATAAAACAGGCAGGTGGATCAATGGAACTGAATTGAAGATCCAGGTGTAAATCCACACACCTATGGACACCTGATTTTTTTTTTTTTAAAGAAGCCAGAAATATACAATGGAAAAAAAGAAAGCATCTTCAGCAAATGGTGCTGGTCTAACTGGATGTAGGTATGTAGGAGGAATGTAAATTGACCCATATCTATCACAGTGCATACCACTCAACTCCAAGTGGATCAGACACCTCAAAATGAATCCAGACACATTGAACCTGATAGAATAGAAAGCGGGGAAATAGCCCTAATGCATTGGCACAGGACAAACTTCCTGAACAGAACACCAAGAGCATAGGCACTAAGACTGACAATTAATAATGGAACCTCATGAAACTGAAAAGCTTCTGTAATGCAAAGGACACTGTCAATAGGACATAACAGTAGTCCACAGAATGGGAAAAGATTTTTACCAACTCCACATCTGACAGAGAATGTACCCAAAATATATAAAGAACTCAAGAAACTAGACATCAACAAACTAAATAATCCAATTAAAAATGAGGTACAGATCTAAGCAGAATTCTTAACAGAGGAATCTCAAAGGGCTCAGAAACACTCATATAAGTGTTTAATACCCTTAGCCTACTGCTTTCTAAATATCAATAAACTCAATATAGTTCTCAGGATTTTTAAACACCAACTCAGATAATACTGATTTTTCTGGCTTTTCTGGTTCTATATCTTTTTTTTTTAATTTAATGAACCAATTTTAGTCTTATTCCAAATATAGATCAAACAATATTTTAAAATATGTGGTGGTAAAGTGAAATTAAGTTACACAATTAAATCCACATCTATCAGTCTGTCTCCACCATCGTCTATTGATTGCAATTCTGCTGATTTGGCTTTTAGTATATTTCACACATACACACACACACACACACGTGTGTGTGTGTGTGTGTGTGTGTGTGTGTGTGTACTGTGCTGGTTTGTTTTTGTCAACAATACAAATTAGAGTCTCTGGGGAAGAGGGAACCTCTTTTGAAGATTTGTCTCATCATATTGACCTGTGGGTATGTCTAAGGAACATTTTCTTGATTAATGATGGAAGTGCAAGAACTTAGAGGGCTGAGGATGGTGCTAGCCCTGAGGTGGTGGTCCTGTGCTATATAGAATACAAGCTGAGCATCTGTGGAGAACAACCTGGTCAGCCACATTTCCCAGTGTTTTCTGGTTCAGTTCCTGCCTCCAGGCCACCACCTTGGCTGAGATGAACTATTAATTCTCTCCTCCCCAAGTTGAATGTAGTTTATCATAGCAACAAAAAGCAAATTAAGAAGTAATAATGAATTAATGACAACATTAAAATTGCAAAATATTTTACAACTGATCTGATTCTTTCTAAAAATAGAAAAAATATATCTTTATACCACTAGGAACATATTTAAGCACATATTTACATCATATATTCATTACATACATATTGACATAACACTTATAACCACATTCATGAGCATATATATATATATATGCATAAAATGAACAACCTCATATTTTTCTCAGTGTTATCCTATTAGAAGTCTGTTTTATTATTGATTTGTTTTGCTATTTTTAAAAAACTATTCTCATTTTCTTTACTTAAGACTATAATAGCCAGAAAAATCCAGGTACCTAATTCATATAAACTCAATGAACATTAAAATGGCCTATGTCTAGCAATGTGAGTTGACAAAACTCCTTGGAAATTTAAGAGGTCTAAGGATATCTTTGGATCACTGCACTCTTCTCAGCTTCAGTAGTAAAAGTAAACTGGACAAGGTGGACTCCTTCATGTCTCTTGCTAAAGAACTTGGGGAATCGGGAAAGTGCTCTCTGATCTCTCGTAAAGATGGTAGTAAAAGGATAAGTTAGAAATCTAGTTGTCAGCTGGA